AACAACAATACTATGATAATGTCTGTAAAATTGAAATTTCTAAACTGTCCCTAAAGATGTCTTACAGGATTTTAAACTGAGTAAGCTAAAAGGAAAAAGTTTACCCCAATGGGAATCATCCCATAGCAAAAAGGCCAGGGAATACTGTAGTGATTTTGGTTACTGATTTACCAAGACATGGGTAGTATCAGGATATTTAAAGGTTAGGCAACATTTTGTTGATATTAAGTAATGCTTACTCTTATTTTTAACTATGAATTTTTGCTTGTGGTATCCATTTTAACTATCTTCAATGAATAATCAATTGCCCTTCAAAGTGGCAGAAATATAAAATTAGAATTTAAAACTCAATTAGTAGAATTAGAGAGACTTTGACTGGGAAGGACAACTTCTGAAAATACTCTGCTTTTTCTGTCCCAGTAGGATGGCAGAAACCAACCATCAGGGTTTTCAAATAGCTTAATGTCCTCCCCACTTTAACTCCATACCCACCACCACACATGAAATGAGACATACACAGAAAGGCCCATTAGCTGGAAAATAAAACGAACAATTCCAGTGGGAACCAAATTACCCAAGCCCTAATCAATTCAGGCATTTTCTGAAGATAATCTAAGAAGCTTTTTCCTCCCTTGTTTCCCAATGCCTCCCCGTTAGGTCTCTGCTCACACAGGCCTCCGTCCCCTGAAACCTACAGCTCCTCCACTCCACGGGAAGCTGTTTATCTCTAGAGACGCTGGATAGCATTGCTTTCCTCACCCAGACTGCACCTTCCTCTTGGGGGTATGAGAGCAGATGCTTAGTTTTTCTTTCTGGGCTTTCTGAGGACGACTTTTCATGAGAAGGCATCTTTCATGAGAAAGATGAGTAACTGTGTTAAAGATGACCTCTGCTTAGTACAAAATAAGCTAACAGTATATGGCCCAGTTAACCCACAGATGTTCTACTGCCAACACAGAACGACAAAGAGCCCCAGCTCTGACTTTTTTTGGCCTGCTGCCCCCTTTGCTTGTGAATACACAGCTGAACCTCTCCTGGCTAGTCCCCTGAGTATGATACTGAAGAGATGGAGCTAAACTTTCGGCTCAGGCTTAGACACTCTCAGCTCGAGATGTTGACTTCGAAAATCGAAATGCAGAGGGTCGTCATCCCTGCTGGTGTTAGGGCAGTCAACAGGAGGTAGCTGCAGGCCTCGGGAGGAAACGTGTGTAATCTGGAGACAACCTTCAGAACACTTCTTTTGTGTTGGCCAGGCACCTCATCCTCACCTGCCAGGACTGTCACCCAGAGGCTGCCTGTTCTACCCAGTTTTTACATTAACAGCTAGCCCCAAATCTCCAGCGCTGAGCGGCTCAGAAGCGGGCCGGCTCAGTAATCAGTCAGGTTCCGGCCTCTCCCGACCGGATTCGAGTGGGCGGGGAGGTGGTGCGTCCAGGATGGGGGCCGGGGCGGGGGGGGGACCTTAAAAACATACCCTTCTCCCTAGAAGCCGGACCTAAGCGTCTGTGCCTCCGGAAGACCTGGGGCCACGTGCCCCGACAGCCGCTCTAGGACGGTCCCCTCCCGAGTCCCTGATCAGGAAGAAGAACAAAACAAACCAAACCCAGCCTCCACGTGGGGCTGGAGTCCAGGCCCAGTGTCCGCGCGGGAAAGGTCTGTGATCTTGAAGTCCACAAAGGAAGGCGCACGCTCAGTCTCCGTATCAGGAGGGACTTAATATGCACAGAGAGAACGCGAGGCAGCCTCTGTCCACTCCAAGGGGCTTTTTCTCTCATCTTTCCCACAAGCGACAGCCCCAGGAAAGGGAAAGCCGCCCTGTTCAGACAATAGCGCGGCCACCACATCGGTGGTCTAACCAGTAACGACGCAGGGATGTGAGGACCGTGCGTCAGGGGGCGTGGGGGGGGGGGGCTCCCAGGCACAGCAGGATTCCCAGGAGTAAGAGGGACCTTTACCAGTGTCTTGTTCTCTGTCCAAGCTTGGCGGCGGGTCCTTCCAGTGAAAGCCCCTTCCGGGCACTTTCTCTTACAGCGCTTTGGGGAGAAAGGAGGGCTGGGTTCAAAAGAAGGTGCAAAAGGCAGCCCTCGCGGAAAAATAAAGAAATATCAGCAAAATCGCCTTTGTGGTTCAACCAAAGGTCAACAGCAGCATTTCCCCAGCAGCTGACAGGTCAAATGGTCAGGAAACAACTGCCGAGAACAAAGCCCCCCGCTGTTCACCAGGGGCAAACCCTGCTCCTCCTCACTAAGCAGTTTTGTGCTTTTGGGAGGGGGCGGTGGGAAAGGGCTTCCGTCCCCCTCCCCGCCCATTTCCCTTCCTCTCGGGTGAACAGGTCTGGTTCCGAGGAAAGGGAGGAGGGGGCAAGGGGCGCCTGCAGGAAGGGGAGCGGCTCTTTGAAGGCAGAGTTCTGAAATTCCTCTCTGGTTCTGAGGCCAGAAGCCCAAGAGCGCGAAAAAATGTGAGGAATGCGGCCGCGGGAGGAAGGGGAGCAGCGTGCAAGGAGGGTCATCCCACCGCCCCTGCCCGCTCCCCAGAGTGAGGGGTGCCGAGAGCCACGAACCAATAGGCCCTGGCAGGTGCGGCCGCCCGCTAGGCTGCTGCTGGCACACTGTCCCTTCAATTATTTGGATAGGATGCTGTCTCGTTTCAGAGTTCTGACTTCTGTATTTAACAAAAACCCCCTCTCTGAAACGTGAAGAGTTTCGCCAGCGTTCACTTAAATCAAGCACAATTCCCCATCGGATGTTAGAGAATTGTGTTTAAACAAAAGGTCGGAATTCCCTGCTGTCTGGTTTATAGGGGGGAAAGATACTGTCCTAGGTTCCCGTTTCCCAAATAGTCCTATTGCATCCCGCTCCGGGAGCCGAGGTCTCTCTCGCCTAGCTGCTGAAAGAGTTGGCCACCTTCTAGGAAGAGCTCGGAGTTGGGCAGCAAGGGAGAAGATACAGATCGCTTTGTACAATGTCTGCAAACCAATCTGCGTTTCTTCATTTAAGGAACACTAGCTAAAAATGGAGCCAGTCGGGCCAATCCAACCTAGACGCTCACCTTCGTCCCCACTTCTCGGCTTCGGACTCAGCGAAGGGTCGAGGCAAGCCAAAAGAACAGGCCTGTCCTGTCCCCACTGGCACTTGGGAGCAATACCCTGTACTGTCACATGGGCCGCACATAGGAGTCGCTTCACCAGCGAGACAAGAACCGTTAGTGGGTGTAAAGAAATGCGGAAACGCCAGGGAAGGTAAGTGCAGGTGACGGAGGAAACGCGCCGGCACGGTCCCTGAAGACTTCGGAAGCTCGCACACAAGCACAGGAAAAAAAAAAAAAAAAAACACAAAAACCTCGCAAATCCACGCACACCAACATGCACAAAGGAGTGCGCGGGGATCCCTGCAGCCACGAGTCACTCGTGGCACTTCTGTCTACTGAGGCGCAAGCCGTCAAAGTCCTCTCTCTATACGCACACACACAATCCAGCTCACAACGCGCCGCGCTTGACGTTGCGCCTTTACCTTTGAGCAGGCAGATGTCTGTGCGCTCGGCGTTGCGACGCAGCGCCTGCACCACCAGCGACACAGTGCTGTCTTCGCGGAGGCTCTCGGCGCGCAGACTGCGCTCATCGTAAACGATGACCGCCGAATAGAGGCCGGAGCGCAGGCGGGCGCGCACCTCCTCCTCGGCGGGCAGAATTTGTTCCAGGCTTACAGAGCCCTTGGCCCGCCGCCGCACGATGGTATTGCAGCGCACGTTGACCGAACCTCGGATATAGCCTGCGCTATGCGCCAGGAACGGTCTGCAGTCCAGCAGCAGGCACTTGCCGCCGCTCGGTAGCCCCAGGGCGCCGTGGCCGCCGCTGCCTCCCGCGCCGCCGCCGCTCTCCTCTCGGTTCATCAGCCTTTTGAGCACGCTGCAATCCATCTCCTGCAGCTTCTCCACTGTCACCATGGTCGTCGGATACTGCGGCTGCTGGGTGCGCGAGGCGAAGGGCACCACGGCCGGCTGTGCCGCTGGAAGGGGCGGACGAAGGTTTAGGGAGAGCGCGTGCAAAAGTAGCTGCAAACTTGTCTCACAGAGGCTAGCGCGGGCCGTCCTCTTCCCTCTAGTCCCCTTCCTCACGCAGTCTCCCGCTTACATAGCAGTTCTAGCGGCCTCGGACGCCGGGCAGGTCTGTGCGCGGCGCGGAGTGGGAGGTGGCACTGGAGCAGAGTGTGTTTACGAGAGAGGGCCAAGGACTCCCGTCAGTTGTTGCCTCTATTATATTGCCTGTTGTGCTGCTTCTGCCACCGCTGGCTCCAGCGCTCCCGTTCCGGCCACTGTTCCCCACACGCAGCCGGAGCTCCGCGCACTGCCCCAGCCAGAGTTTCCTCCTCTGGTTATAGATTTATTAATGCTCCTCAGCTCTCCCCAGGGTGTGGGGGAAGATTCATTACTACCTCGCGAGGCCCCGCCTCTTCCCATTCTCAGCCAGGCTTCCCCCTCCTCCAGGCGCTAGCTCTCCGCCCCACCCTCCGCCCCTCAGGCCCCTCCTCCTGCTCCCCTCCCCTAAGAGTGAATGGAGCTCCGACCGCTTGCGCCTAGTCACGGGAACGCGACGTCACAAAGAGCAGAGTAAACAGGGAGCTCGGCGTTCTTCACCAGGCCCATTCATAAATCCGAGAGCTAGAGGAAGAAGGAGGTGGCCTCAGACCCGCCGGCAGGCTGCTGCGCCAGGACTTTGTGAATGGAGCGCGACTGAGCCTCTCCGCCCGCGGGCCAAGGCCTCCCCGGCGCGCTTCTTGCCGGGCACAAGTCGCCTTCCAGCCACACCATCCTGCTGTGCTGCGTTTGGCGCAAAAAAAAAGCTAGCCTAGCGGAGTCCAGCGGCTCGGTTTTGAGGTTTCATCTATTTTTACCATAGTGCCTCATTCTTCTCTCCCCTCTTTATGAGCTCGCCAGGTCTCCTCCCCTGTACCGAAGTGGAAAGAGAAGGGGTACTACACTGCCCATCCTGCGAGGCCTGCACCTCCTCGCCCCAGATTTAAGAGTTCGTTCGGCCCTGCTACTCGTCTTTTTAATATGTTTTCTTAGACGTTGGTTTATGCATTAGTATGATAAATTTTCATCTTAAGCCATTAAATCAGCTTTATAACTTTCCGAGAAACATGGGCAAAACCCCAAGTTAGAATAATGAAAGTCTTCCCTAGGTGAGGTGTGGGGTTTTCTTTGTTGGACCCAGGAGGAGGCATTCATTGCCGAATGTTCAGATAGAGGGCAAAGGTGTCACTCCCACGCTTTCTAAAATGTGTTTATTTAAGCTGCGGGGGGGGGGGGAGTATCGGCGTTTTGGGTTTTGGAAACATCCTCACCCTCATTTTACACAAGTGTGAACTGTCTTTTCAGGAAATTACAATTTAAGAAATACGCGCGCAAAGGATGACCTTTTGAAAGGATTCAAATTCAGGTTTACTTTGCTTCTCCTTTTCCAGAACATGTAGATTACCCCCCTCCCCCAGTTTTACTTAAGCATTGAATTTTCCCAGAGGCCGCTTTTGACAGAGGGTTTGTACGTACACGCGGTGGGGACCTGACAGAATCCAAAAATTATTCTCCCAACATCTTGCCAAGTATCGTTAGTGGGAATTAACCACCGAGGCGAGGGAATTACAGGACTTGCCTGGAAGCTGCTTCGGGGATAGCAGGGTCGAGTCTTCCATTCCAGGTCTCGCGTGGAACACTCCCCGCCCTCCTTCCCCTCCGCCTTTGTTCCTGGCGGAGCGACTCATCCCAGCTCTGACCTCCACTTCCCTCCCCCCAGGCCTCAGTAGAAGCCTGCAGCTCAGAGACCTTAGAGCCGTGCTCCCTTCCCCCTACGCCCCAAAGCCCGCGGCGGCCGGGGCCAGCTCCCGTCGGCGGTGAAGGGCGCAGCTTGTCCGGGGTAGCTTTCCTTTTGCCTCAGACAACAATATGGCTCAATTCCTCACTGTAGTAATCCTGCAGTGATATTTTGTTCATCATGGATTATTTGCACTAATTTCAAATTTTTAAAAGGCACTTCATTATTTATCCTGACTACTGACTTTTTTGGCACCCCTTTAAATGCGCTGAGGAGAACGCCCACCCTAGTACTGGCCCTGAAAGGAGCCACAACTGCAGATCTATCTATCCCGCAGCGCGGCAAGATTTCCAGCACTTAAGGTGTGCGTGAGGTCGGCGGGGAAAGGCTACCTGCCTGGCTTCCCGGTGAAAAGAGGTTTATGCACACTCCCAGGGCTAAAGGGACCTCAGTCTCATTCGAGTGAGGTGGCTATGAGGCTCTAATAATTCGCTCTCAGTAGCTACCGGAGAAAGTGTGCCTTTTCAAGAGTCCCCAAGCAAGGAAGAACCGGCGAAGACTCTCCGAGGGTGTCGCTGCGGAATATGACCCCTGCCAGGCCCGTGGTTCTGAGGCTCTTCCCACCCAGAGAAACACTGACTCTTTTTCAGGAGCCTTGACGGGATATTTCTTGGAAGAGCCTCTCAATCGAAGGCAGGTTGTGTCGATTTCACTCGTGCCGCAGGAGCTGGGGAGGCATTCCTTGGCCGCTCTGGTAGCATTTTGCTAGCCTTTGTCTCCCAAGCCCACCGTTCACGTGGCGGGTAAATAAGAGCCTATGGTCGCGGGGGGAGATGCCCGCAGAATAAAGAGTTGGTTTTTGCACCTGACAGTAATCCAGGTGGCGAAGCCCATAAATCCCGCAGGCGATTCACACGGAAGGGGTGTGGGCGGGCGCGTGTGAGTGTGTGTGTGTCCACGTGCGCATACCCGCGCCTGCGCGCCCGTGCCCTGGGGGGCAGGTGGGGGAAGCGGTGAGGGCAGCAGCAGATTCAGATTTAATATGCTTAAGTCAAGAGCCGCTCTAGTTGAGAATGTGAATTCTTGATTTTTGAAAGGGATTAATTTTAAAGAAAACACTCCCCCTCCTAACTCGTGAATTGGCCTTCAGTTTTGTGAATTTCAGCAATCGAGATTTAAATTACCTTACTGTATTTATCCGGATGCTACCTAAGCTCCCTGGGTAAATTTTTTGTAATGTGATTGTGCGGGCCATTAGGCTGGCAGTTAAATTAATGCAACATGAGGGCTACCGGATACCAGCTATAGAGATGATAAAACTTCTCTCCAATTGGTCTGCAGGCTGGGGGTGGGAAACATAACCAGTTTCCACAGGAAATTTGTGGAACAGCTTATCAATAAGTAGATCGTGGAGGAAACAAAGGATTTTGGAAGGAAGATGTTATTTGAATGTCATTTCAAAGTTAATTTAATTAACAAAGGCATATTTGCAGGAATTGGGATAGGATTGCCCAAGGAGAGATTTTATTTATATTCAGCAGTAAACCTCAGGGTGAAAATACTTTAAATATTCGTTGTGACATGGAAGTCCAACCTTTCATCAGACAGTCCTTAGGCTGACCTTATTAGTCACTGCCAGGCTCCAGCAGAAGCCCTGGCCTTGTTTTAAGTACATTTCTTTCCAATTAGAAAGTTGTGTGATCTGGGAATTTAAAGCTCAGAGTAGAATCCCCAGAGAATCATGACTTCTATTCTGGTTTTGATGCCAACCTCTGACTCACTGCCCTGTCCCAAGGTGCCTGAATAAAACTTGCCTGAAAAATCATTAATGAATTAATCAAGGTGGTGATGGAAAGAAAGATCCTGTGAATTCCCCTTTCCTGAGCAAAGAGAGAGCCTTGCTAGCTAATTACTTTGAACTGGAGTAGGAATGAACCATTTAAATGTACCTGTTGGCTTGGCTTCTTGGATCAGCCGACTGGGAAATTTCACCTCATAGTGGGAATGCCTATAACAAACGAAAACTGGGAGGTCATCTCATGAGACATCTGTGCTTATACAGTGCATTTTTTGGTAACATTTATAAATGGAATTGAAATATATCTGTCTTTCCCTGCCCACCTCTGTCCATTAAAGCAGGACTCAGGATGGAAAGTCAACATTTAAACTAAGTTCACCAGAAAACTCAAAAAGATAGCCTGAAGGTGTTTTTAGTCCTGATGTTGTTCTTAGCTTCTTTTTGTTTTCTGCACATGATACAATAGCACTTACTACTGTTGTTTATGTTAGAGATATACCACGCCATCTTGCATGGCTCTTCCGGGTCCTTCTTCATTCCCTGCTGCCCCGCCCAAGGTCATAAGTCAGTTAAAGGAAGTCAAAACTGAGCTTCCTGCAAGGCGTGAATTTTAAAAGGCAACATAGCCTCTGATAGGTTAAGACCTCTTCCCCCAGCTCTGAT